AAATTTAATTTTAAAATATTTTTGTAAATTTATTGAAAAAGGAATTCAGGAAGTAATTTATAAATCACTTTTTAAAAAAATATTTTCAGAAAATATTTAATATTTAAAATTATAATTTAGAAAGATTAATTAAAAACCCTTTCAAAATTTCAGTTTCACAATATTTTAAACACTACTAAAAGTTGGTTAAATAATTATTTGTAAATTAATTTCCAAACTTTCATTCCAGAAGAGTTATAAATCACATCCAACTATAAATTTCAAAAAGGGATCTAAAATCTTTTTGAAATATATTAAATATTTTTCTTAAATTAAACTTTTGTAAGTAATTCCAAATCAAATCACTTTTGCAATAAAATCGTTAGAAAGTTGATTAAAAAATTCTAAAATTAAAGTTTTAAAAATGTTTAAACATTTTTGAAAATTTGATTTTAGAATTGTTGAATATTATTTTAGAATTAAGTTTTAAAAGTGATTTTTAAATAAATATATGGATTTAAATAAAGGTAATTTTAGAATAACAATTAAAACAATACAAAAATGGTGCAATTGTTAAAAAAAAAGTGTGAGAAGTATCTCTCTATCAAAATTTGTGTATGAACACTTTGTGATGTGAAAAAGTGATTAATGATTTGTTAACTTAGGTAATCTATAAAATAGCACTACACCTAAATTAATTTTTGTGGCAATTAATTTATTATTTAGTAGCCATATAAATGGTCATTATTTTTTTTACCAACATTTAAATAAAGGCTGGTGTATCCAGTGTCGCTAATACTATTACCGGCATTTATATAAAATACTGGTAAAAATCTATTAAATTGTCGAAAAAAATTATTTTTTTAGTGGCAATTCTAGTAGCCATTTTAAAGGCTATTAAAAATTATTTTTTTCAATTGTCTCCTTTACTTTAAATAATTTATTCTTATAATTTTTTTTCTCTAAATTTACAACTTATATACTTTTTTTTTAATCTCTACTCGATGTGAGATTTGTAAGATGAGGCTTGTCTTTTATTTATATATTTTTTATGTCTTGTTTCTTAAGAAATGTGAGATTTATAAGGTGAAAGTTGCTCTCTAATTGTTTTATAACACTATTGAATTTGGTAATAATGGGTGATTTGATACCAATTTAGAATAATGAATTAGGAATCAACCTTATAAAATGAACCTGTAAGGTGATAGTTATTACTCACTTATATACTATTTAATTATCTTATCTCTAATCGATATGAGACTTAAGTTTTTTCTAATAAATAATTGTCGCTAATAGTAAACTTTAGTGTAATATAAATACTTTTTAGTGACTACTATATATTAGCCATTAATATTTTTATATATGGTGGCAATTAAATTATTGCTATTAAATAATTGTTGTTAATAATAAATTTTGTTGTTGTGCAGAAGAAAGAAAAACTTAACACTTTACATTTATAGTCCTCTTACTTATATATTTTTTTTAGGAAAAATATATTTTAAATTTTATTATTTGCGGTGAAATGTGTTAAGATATATCAAATTTTATTATAATTTTTGTTCTCCTACTTAAAAAAATATAGATTTATTCCCTTTTATGGCGTTAGTGCAATTGCTGTTAGGACAAATGAAACCCATTGCCCCCCTCCCAGTATTTACCTCACTGTCTTTCATTAATGGTATATAATAATTTATTTCATTAATTTAATAGATTTTTTTTATTGATGTAAAAAAGGAAAAGATTGAGGAATAAAGAACCCTAATTTGTCCCATTCTTCTTCTCGCGGAGTTGTCCTACAATTACATCCTATTCTCCTCAACGTGGGTAGGGTCTTTGAATTTTCTTCCTCATCTCTTTCCTTGTATCAGCAGGTGTAGGTGACATGATAACATTCTTCATTAAATTAAAATTTGTTCGTAGCCAGGAGTTGAACTTCAAAATTTGTAGCTTGTTCTTCACACCCAGGATGCTAGTTTGTGTGGATACGGGGAGAAGCTGTTGCTCACGGCCGTGGGAGAATGTTATGGAAATTAAGAAATTTGGAGGTGTAAGTTACTTTACACACAGAAATTAGTTCGAATCTACTATTCATTCCCAGCAACTACGTACTCGAATTCTTAATTTAGAGAGGAGAAACTAAAGTCACATGTTTCTTAAATTCAGAAGACCAAAATTATCAAAATGAAAATAAAAGGACCCTAACCACGTTTAACCAAATTACTTAAAACCTTACGTATAAGTTACTTAGTCAAATATAAACATCTACTAATATTTCATATGTAAACAAATTACTGATTTAACTTGTAATACGGAATCAAATTATATTACCAACAAATACATGTATGCATGTATAATTTGCTGATGTGAAAAGAATTTTTTATTATTATTTGTAAATAGTACAATAAATATGATGAGAAAAGAAACTCATGATTTTTTTAAAGTATTTTTCATACCAAAGCGTAAATAGCATATCTTGTATGAGTGTATGGATTTGTTAGCTTCTGCCTTGGTGGCCGGGAGCCCATTCAAACCTGGCAAAAAAAGCAATAGGCCCTAAAACCCTAAAGCCCATACATTTATATATACAACACTTCCCTATTTTCTTTTCTCTACGAATTTCAAAAGCAATAATTACTAGCTAGTTACACCTAAAATCAGATTTGCCTTCGTAACTTTTTCATCTTAATTTGTTGGAGTAACATGTTGTATGCTTTCCATTCAATATAGTCACAATAATCTCGTTGCCGTGGTGAATAAGGGATAAGTGAAAAGGGGGACAATTATCCTCTAAGAATTTTGTTCAAATATTTAAATTTAAAGAAAATGTTTAATTGTATGTTTTCAGAGCATAAAAAGAAACGGAAGAAAAAGTTCCACTTAATTGAGCGAAACTCATCGAGTGATGGTTAGCCAAGGGAGTTTTTATTTTTATTTTTATTTTTATTTTTATTATGGGGTGCATTTTAAAATGGAAGTAAGGGGTAGTAACTGATAATCCTTTATTCCATACTATTGAGCAAGGATTTAAATTTTACCCATAGTATCCAACTAGTTGAAAAATGTACAATACTACTCGTATCATTGGGTTAATTAGTGATGAAGGGCATGTAGAAGGCTCATTAACATTGCACTTGGTGGAAGGGGTTTAGGTTAGGAAATTCAAAATGTCAGTTACAATTCTTAATAATAGGATCATAATCGGGTAGGGTGGATATGGTATTTTAATATCTCAATCTCTACCTCTATTTCAATATTTTATATTTATTCTCATCTTTATATTTGACAAGTATGAAATTTATGTCTTATTTCTATCATCATTAAATATCGAGTATTTATACGTGCCTAGAAATTAGTTAAATATATTTACTTTTTGCAAAATATATATAAAAAAATAAGAATTTTAACATAGAGTAATAATTACAAATTATATTAATTAAGTTTTATTTGATATAAAATCAAAATAAAGTAAGAATTATATAAATATCAAGTAAATTCTAAAATAAATAAATTAAGTTTCTAAAAATTTAAAGTAGTGATATGGATGAGAACGAAGATGGAGACAAGTATAGGTATTGATACGAGTACAGAGTGGGTAAGTAAATATTCATCCTCACCCCTCTCTGTATCCTATTTAATAAATCAAGTATTACTTGTACCTGTACTTGTACTCGATCAAATTATGTATTCTCTGTAGGTAAGTTTGGATATTATCTATGAATACAAGTTTACTTATCATCCTTAATTCTTAATATAAACTACAAAAAAATTGTGCTAATTAAGAAAATTAGTTAATATTATTTAATTACATTAATTTTATTTTAAAAATAACTTAATGTCCTAAACTACCATTTCTTGAAATTTGATATCAAGAATAAAAATGATTATTAAAAATACTATATCAATTAAATGATGAGATATTTTGGAGATAGTAACATTAAATAAAATAAATTTAGCCGAGAGTTTTTTGTATTTAAAACTAATAAATATAAAGTTTTTTTTATACTAATATTCAAAACCGGAGTGAGTATATAAATAAAAGAGCATTAAAAAGAAATAGACAAGATAATGAATTTATAAAATAGGAGTCGTAAACTTCTTGAGTTCTAGGTAAAAATAAAAAATTATATTTATTAGTTCACTACTCTCCTTAAACTTGTATATAAATAAAAAAAATGTTTAAATTTATTTTGGACTCAAATAATAGTAAACTTTAATTAAGTCAATTTTATTTAATATTTTTAATAAAAGTAAGAATTTTTTTATTATTATTGAAAAGTGGCACCGAAAATCTTCTTCATAAATACTTGATCTTTGAGTTCTTATTTGGCAATTTGCTTCATCTGTATTTTTCTAAATATTTCTGTTTACATTTTTTTAATCATACTACATATAGTATTTATCACTTTTTTTTCTCTATTTGTTTTTTCTATCTCTCTTCTCCCTCCTCCCAATTACCCCCAAAATTAACGGGCTGGAAGGCACACAATTTTTCTGGATCTATCATTATTTGAAATATAATATGATAAGAAAAGAAGATGGAAATTGAAAGAGTAATTAATGACAGATATTAGCTGAGAATGGTGGGAGAATATCGAAATTGCTGTTATATACCATATATAACTTGATTTGAAATATCGACGAAATGTTCCCTCTCACCATAGGACAGCATGACTCCAAACCCTGCTTAAGTTCCTATAGTGTGTAAGAGATTTGCTAGATTCCCTAGGTCATCCTACAGTTACGTACCATTTCAGCATGCTCATTTGTTTTCGGTGTGAAGTAGGTGCTCATTGTTTTCAATGTGAAGTATCTCAAAAGATACATATATGGATAAATAAAAGCAGCAATATTCTGTGCATGGACCAAAGTTTCTCAGAACACGGTTAAATTGAACACATAAGCACCAAACCACCGACATACATTAATCACCTAAATCCAAGTAAATAATCCCCCCTCTCTTCTATACCGTTATACCCAATATATATTCCCATTCTCCCTATCCAAGATAAGATCATCACAAATTAAGAAAAATGAAACCAATATTAGTTCCTTTCTACGTAAATCCCCTACCCCCACCAATCTAATCACGCTAGTACATTACAAAATAAGAAAAGAAATTAAAGATATGTCATATTGCATATATACATAACAAAAAGAAAGACCAACTTACTCACAATGGAGAAGTTCAATTCACCATAGAGCTAGAACACCAGTACTGCACAGATAGGAGCATAGCAGCCACTGTGAGACGATGAGAGAAGAGGATCCGAGGTTCCTCTCAGAGCAACATATGCAATTCTTTTCCCAACCTTGACATATAAAACTAACAGGCTGAAGAGTAATTATATATATTTTGCAGGATGCATCTGACATGATCGCTCCGATCCAAACTCCTCTCACCTTTAGCTTTCCCATTTTCTTACAAGTATCACGTTTCCTCCTTTTTCAATAAATTTTGATGTAATTAATTAAGTAAACTAAACCCATTTTGCCCCAAAAGAAAAAAAGAAAAAAGTAGAAGTAACAAGTAACAAGACAGAAGGGGGAGACAAACTTGAAAACCATGCTTCTTCATTCGATTGGATTGTATTTTCTAGATCAGAGAAGTGACTGAGGAACCAATATTAGCAGCTTGATCATTCCAAACACCCACTGTGTTATTCCAATAAAGCGAGGGATCGTACAAACCCACATGCTGGATCTGGTTTTGGCAAGCACCATTATTCCACTCCAACCTGTTGCTTTGTCCTAATTCTACTTTCACATCTTTTAAAGCCACCATCCCTGCCTCACTGCTATGAATATGATCACTTCCCATTTGCATCTGCTCTAGTGGGGTTAAGCCCAAGCCCTGCTGAAAAGTGTTGCTTTCAAGACCATCTTTCAATCCACCACTCATGAACTTCTGTTGCAGCAACAAAGAAGGCATAGATGGAGTAGTGGCAGTAGAACTTGAAGTAGAAGAACCAAAGATGGAATTATAACTTGAAAGAAGCGTATTATTTGAACCAAACCCGTTTCGGTAACCGTTATTATTATCACTAGCTTCATTGGACACAACCCCGGATGAAAAACCTAATCCAAGGGCGTCATTGAGCTGAAGATCAAACCCGGAACTTGAGATCCTAGAACCAAACCTAGGGAATAATGGAAGATTCACATTGACATCGCTAGAGCTACTTGGTAAGCCATAAAACAAAGGGTTGATATGGTTTGAGGTTGAAGCAGTGTCGATCTGGGGTTGTGAAGTAGCAGTGGGAGCAGAAGAAGAAGACGAATTAGAAGCAGTGTCAATGGCAGCAGCAGCAGCAGAAGAAGGGTTTGTTATTGGACGCTTGACACGCTTGTTTTTTCTGCAGCCTCCACCAACAGGAACGTTTCTGAGGGTTCCACCTCTTGTCCAATAGCGCTTGCAGGCTTTGCAGAAGTGTCTTGGCTGAGACAAACTGTAGTTGTTGTAGTAGCAGAACTTGGTGTTTGATGAGTCACAACGAGGGCACTTGAGGGCTTGTTGTTGTTGCTGCTGCAGAATTTCTTGACCCCGTTTTTCCATTACCTTACTATTATTATTATTATTATTACTTCCACCTGATGAACCCATCAAGACCTTGTGATCATCCACCTAAATGAAAAATAATCAGACGCTTAGTAGAATGAAATATGAAGGGATTGAAGGGAATAAGAAAAGGAAGATCCAGTTTAAGGAGGTGTTGTATCTAGGGTAATGAAACAACTAACAACATAGTGTAGATATTCTCTTCCAAATGCAAAGCAACAAAATTGCACTGGTCATGTATTTGTCTAGTTAGTGTGTGTGTGTGTGAGTAGAGAGAGAGAGAGAAAAGTGAACCTGTGGCCATTGGTTGGTCGTTGGAGGGATTAATACCATTTTCGCAGAGTTATCCGACATTTTGCTCTCTCCAAGGAATCCTTGAAAACAAAGAGTAAACAAACAAAGAACAGAATTGAAGTGAGCCTCGTTTCAAGGTTTCAAATAGCAATGTTGTGCGAGTTTGAGTGAGAGACTGAAAATTTGAAGTTGTCAATCACCAAATAGCAAGATGACCTTAATTAATTAATTAACTACTGTAGGATAATATATATTAAGTTTTGGTTTTACTAACCATTGATATAAAAAAACATTTTTTATTAAAAATCTCAGGATGCAAGGATTAATAATACTAAATATTAATAATTATTTTCATTTCTAATTTTTCAATCCTTACCCTAACGGATAATCCTGAGCCAAAGTACTACTATAATTATATTATTTAATTTGCTTCGATGTAAAATGAAAAATCGTCTAGTTTCATCCCATGATGTAGTTTCACGTGACGATCGAGTTTTTTTTATAATTTTTTTATTTTTATATAATATAT